GACTAAATAGTTAAAAGAGGCTGATAAGAACTTAAGCTGATAAGAAGAAACTTCTCTACCAAATGTCCTCTTTCTCCCCACCCTCCCATTTTTTTCCCCCTCCCTGCCTTCCCTCCCTCCTTTCCTTATTTATTCTTCGTTCTGGACTTCGAACACTCTGGTCATCTGAAGAAGTGGGCCATACCCACAAAACTCATGGTACCATCTACATGTTTTGTTAGTCTTTAAAGTGCTACCAGACTATTTGTTGTTTTTTAAGTTTTTCCTTGAGAATAAGAGCAAGCAGCCACTGTTCACAGCTCACCCGTTCCAGCCATGCAACTCTACCTAGCCTGCAGCCTGCCACAGCCTCCAAATTCCTATATGCTGACCTATTAACACATTTAGCAACCTGGGAAAGAATAGCAACCCAGGGCAGCAGGGAAGAGGGAGGAAAAATGACTGAGCATAATCAAAACCTTTCTACCGAAACATCTGGAATTAATACTAGAGCGAGTGAGCAACAGAGCATAATTTCTCTGCTCTTCCAGATTCACTTATATCAGTGGTGGGCAACCTGCGGCCCAGGGGCCACATTAAGCCCACCAGGGCTCCACCCGCAGCCCACAGACCCCCTGACTGCTCCCCTCACAGCTCTGGGAGGGAGGGGCAGAAGCAGGGACGGAGTGCAAATCAGGCACTCGGAAAGGGCTGGGAGAGAGGAGAAGGAGGAGCAAGTAAGTGCAGCACTCTGGTGCCCAGGTGCGCTAGAGGCACATGTGGGAGGGGGACCAACGGAGGAGAGGGGCTGCAGGTGGAATCCCAATGGGCCACGGGTGGCTGCAGTCCACTCCCTATTTGTATCCATCCCTGACTTATATCCATACCAGCTCAACACCCACTAACAGGGCTAGCAACTTCACACACCCCAAAGAGAGAACCCTGCAGAGGTCACATCTGGGAAGTTTCTTCTTCTTCTGGCAAGAATAAATTAATTCTCTGTATTCGTTTCCCACCCATCATGGACTCAAACCAGCCTGGAATGGTGTCTGCACTGTGTATATGGGGAGGGGATGTTGAGAAATCTTCCTCTATTGGGGCGAAAGGGGAATTTAATTCCAAACTTATTCACTCCTGGGTTTCTTCCTTAACAGAGTCCAACCTGCCCTAGCCCAGAGCAGGTGGGGAACGCAGTTCTAGTTGTATGCAGGCTGCCTTGTGCACTGAAAGCAAAGAACCTCTTGCCCTGGCTGTCTGATCTCAGCTAAATTTGGAAGGCATTATTGTTCCATCCATATGTTTTCTTGCCGGAAACAGGAAGATGGAAAAGACTGTTATACCAGCCTCCCCTCTGACCTACGGGCTGAAAACTCCAGCATAGAAAACCATGAATCACACTGTATTTTGCTTCCAGCCTGAAGTCTCCTGCTACTCCCCACTTCTCCTGGTGCAGGAGACAGCCCCTCTTCACTGCATACCTCTAGTGCTACCATGTCACCTGTGTAGGCCAAGAGAAGGAAACATATTGCAAAACAATTCCTGCAGATTCACAGATCAAGAGAATCTGTGGTTTATACACATGAATGAGCTGTCACAACAGAGCTCATGAAACCCTAATTGTTCCACTTTAGTGCATGCGGAAGTCTCCAGTTTTATGTGCTTAGTCTCCCACTAGGATTTTTCCCAGAAGTAGCAGAAGCTCAGAAACCTCCAAAGAACCAGGGGACACGTGCACATGTCCTACGTGTGCCCCAATTGTTCCCATGTGTTGGGGAATTTTACAAATTATTTTATTGGGTATCATCTCCCACCCAGCAGCACCTCAACCAGCCAATCATACACCCGCAATTATGTTGTGAGACTCTGCAATTGCTAACATGAATGGGGAGACCTGAGCCAAAGACTTTGCCATAATTTAACCAACGCGTGTCTGTCTGAGCTGCACTGGACATGATCTAGCACAGAATTCGACAAAAAAATGGGGAGGGGGAATCACAAGTGTTTGAAGCTCTAGTGGAGAGAGAGTGTTATTTAAAAGTGTGTCTGTCCCCTGCTCAAAAATGCAGTCTAAGCAGTTTATCTAGACACCAATGAGGCCTTTTCCTGCAGCTCAGGTAGCCAAACTCCTGCCCAGATGTCCAGGTTTGATATGATGTGACACATGTTCAAACAAGGCCAGCTAGGACTTGCGTAAGTCCTTTCTGAGGACTAGGAATGTTAAATACCAGTCAACTGAATAGTCGAGTAACCGCAAGAATTCTTATCGGTTAGTCGACTTGTCTATAGTCCCTGGGGGCGGGGCCGGCAGCCAGTGTGCTCTAGTCTCACTCCTGAGGAGCCCCCTGCCACTCTGTGCGGCTGCCTCTGTATCGGAGGGAGCAGTGCAGGGTGCCAGATGGGAGCAGGTCCCCGAGGGGAGCCAGTTTATAAACCAGCCAGTTTATAAACCAGCAAACCAGCTGACTGTTGCCCTGTGCTGCTACCCCTGTTAAAGAGGCAGCAGCATGGAGTGGCAGCAGCCCGTCTAGTGGGGGTCTGAGCTACCAGACCCAGTGTGAGCTGGGCTGCCTGCCCACCTGGCTCCTAATACACTTTAAAAGCAGAGGTGCAGCAGGGGTAGGTCATCACAAGCCAGGACTTAGCCCGATTGCTGGCCAGCCTGCTAAAAAATTTACTGGCAAGTAGGGGGTGGGGGATGCGTGTAGTCTATAGCATTAACCTATAAGCTATTGCTTATCGGTTCATGGACTACACTATTACATCCCTACTGAGGACCCTGTTACTGACGCTGGATTAAAGGCAGGCAGGGGAACATCGCAAAGAACTCCCAAGTCAGTAAACATGGTGACGTGGCAAGAAGCAAACAGCAAGGCAGTGGCACCTGATCAAATAAGGGAGGAGAAACTCGTTTCAGAAAGAGAGGGTGGCTGCTCCTGCCATTCAAACAAGCCATTCATTTGCACGTGGCACAGAGGCAAAGTCCCAGGAAACCAAGAGCCTCGGGAGAGACATGTGGGGAGGCATTACCAGTGTATTAGGTTTAAACTAGAAGACAGACACCTGTTCAAGGGGCTGCCTCATAGAACCTGGGCGGGAGGCACAGTCCAAGGAATTGGAGAAGAGACCCAAAATAGAAGAGACAGCCCAATTCTTTGCCCGACTGACACGACCTACCAAGGGGACCCCAGGACGCCAACCATTATGGCAGAGAAGTTCTCCTCCAGCTCCCTGCTTTGTTCTTACACCCCTTCTGCTACGAGCAAACCGTAAGAGTGAAAAGAACCCAGAACACAACTTTGGGGGCAGCACCCAGCACTCCCTTTCATGATGCCACTGCTGAGTCAGACACCACCGGCAGCAGCGCAACAGGCTGAGCACCCTGACCTCACGGAGGCACCTTTAATGCATAACAAAGTCACTTGAAGACGAGGGCTCCCATTCCCTTGGAGGACTGGGCTGTAGCTCTGCCAACAAGCAGTCGGGGACAAGCAGGCAGCTCCCGAGCTCTGTCTGTGGGTTAACAAAGAGCTCTTCTGAAAGCAGCCACTCTGTTCCAGGGACCAGACCGTGGGGTGGGGGGAGGGAGAGGCTGTCAATGGATGGGGTTTCCAGCACAGCTCTTTTAAGCTCCCCAGCATGGAAGTCTGCCTGGAAATTCCCAGGGTTTTTGTTTTGTTTTATTTAACTTGCATTTATTGCCCAGCTAATAACTGATGAAATTGCCATTTGGCACAGCATGGAAAGTGGAGCCTAAACAAACATTCCCCCAACTGGTGTTTAAACTTGTTTAGCAACAGAAGGGACATATTTTAACTGTTTACAGCTCAGCCCCAGCCTTTCACAAGTCGGAGAGGAGAGGGAAGAAGCAGGAATAGGGAGAAACAAGCCACTGGCTTTGGGGGGTTTTCTGCTTTCATGACAGCACAGTGAAAGGACTGCCAAAGCAGCCCTTCCTCTACCCAGTGCCTTCCCATTACACATGAGCATTATAGACAGACTCGGTAGGGTAGGTGATATTTTTTAATTGAACCAACTTCTGTTGGTGAGAGAAACAAGCTTGTCTCTCTCGCCAACAGATGGTCCAATAAAAGACCCCCCCCCCCACCTTGTTTCCCTCCTACCCTGGGACCAACCTGGCACCCCGCTTGTGCACTCTGTTATTCTCATGCAGCTAGAACTCAGCAAGCCCAGAACACAAAGTTACTCCACGGCAGAGGGTAAAAATGGACAAGACTAGGCGCTGTCATTAACCGGACACTGAAACACCAATGCTAGGAAAAACTTGGCATTTATGTTACCTCCCACCCGGCCTGAGCTACAATAGCTACAAACTCCAGAGAGCACCTTGGAGGGAGGGGAAAGAGATGGTATGCAAGCTCCTACCCTGCAAAGACCACACCACTCAAGGGCAGCCTGAAGCACAATTAATACTTGGAGTCACTACACTCTTCCACGCCTCTCCTCATTACCTTGGTCTTCAAGATTCAGTGACTCGCATGCCAACCCAGTCTCCCTTGGGCCCAGGCAATAGGGCAGCACAGAGAATTAATTCACAGCCTGATTTTTTCCCCCCAACAGCCTAGTGGCACACAGGTGGCTACAATGCACTGAAGTTTCACATGAAGGCCATGATGCATCTCCCCACTCCCTGTCCAAGACTCTCACTCCAGCCAACCAAAACCCCATCCTACAGAGCAGAGATCCTGTACTGAGTGCTGAGAAACATAATTGTGTATGGGAAGCCTAAAGCGGCTATTAAGTCATTCAGGGCATGGTTCTGCCAGAATTTTCTGTAGGGGAAGTTTTAAATGAATCTTAATTGCTTTAAGATGAGCAGCAATTCATACAACCTCAGTTCCATCGCTCCTACTTGTTTGTGGTATAAATAGTTTACAAATGAGAAGACACCAGATTTATGTGGGAGGGAGACAGATTTGGATCTAGCACAGAACTCAAAATACAAGCTGCTCGAAGGAATCAACCCAGAAGAGGAGGGCTACCTGAAGCTCCCTGTTACTCACATGAGCTCTGGCTTGTGCCGATGCAGGATAGCACAGAATGCCAGGCCATCCCGGAAAGAGGTGGTCATATTGGTGATGCTGACATCCCGGTAGCCTTCACACTGTTGCTTGCACCACAGCTGTAAGTTTTTGATGGCTGCCATGCTGGGGTAGGGGCCAGGCAGACAGACCGGCTAGGCAAGGACAGAAGAGGCAAGGCAGATCCAAGGGGAAAATCTGACATCCAGAGCAGGACTTGGAGATGCCAGGAACTGAAGAGCTCCAAACTCCACCAGTTTCGCTCCTTACAGATCAAAGTCCGTCAACTGCTGAAAACTGCTTTGGCTACCAGCTTCGCCCTGGCCAGGAGGCTTCTGCAGGCAAGAAAGGGAACGCTGCAGCCAGACCCCACTGCTTGGGGGGCAGGCGATGCTGGCACAAGCTCTCCCCTGTCGTTGCTGGGGGGATGCAGGCAATGCTGGTGCTAGACCCTTGCCACTGCAGGGTGTGTGTGTGTGTGTGCAGGCGACGCTGGTGCAAGACCCTCCCCCCGTCACAGCTTAGGGGGTGCAGGCGATGCTGCTGCCAGCCCCCCCGCCAC